AAAATAACAATTACATTATAATATTTTGCAATAACAAAGATTGAGTACTTTTTCAAAAGCGCTACGTTGATTGCGTTGGTTATTCACATGGGTTTTATAATCATTAACGTCGTCGGAACCTAAAAATTGTTTTGGAGAAGAAATTGACGTAGAACTAGGCGTGGCGATAGGCTCACTATCAGTAGAGACAGTAGTAGTGGGAGGAGGAGTTGATATGACACTGTTTAGATTAGAAGTTGGAGCGTTGTTTTGGCTTGAAGAAGAAGTCGATACGGTGGGAGGGTTTGGAGAAGTTACAGAGGCCTTGGGAATAAGTTTTGGCTTTGCTTGAATAACAGGTTTCCTCTGAATAGTAGGCATAAAACGTAAAGTCCCTGGAGTCCAACCAACTGATAAAACCCATTTTCGGCACACGTATTTCGTTCGTGTCGAAATGTTATTCAGGTGAGTGATTTGATTTTGAGTTGGATTCATTACTCTGTACATACTATCATAATAGTTTGAACAGATCCATGTTTATAGTTTGGAAATTTTTTTTAGGGTTTGCCATATCTGCTTGTACCTGGAAGAGCAGATTTTGAAGTTTTCGAACTCGTAGATTGCGTTTCTAGTGCGGATTGTTGCGTTTCCTCTTTGTCGGTACTGGGCGTTGAATGTGTAGGAGGAGGTAAGTCGCCGTAAAGAGACATACTTTCTTTTGTTCTTCTCTTGAAACGGTAAAAAAAATTTGCTGTTAAAAAATAGAGTTTTTTGTTTTAATTAAAAAATCGTCTTAGCCATTTTTCTCAATCTATGATATTTATATATGTCTATAGTACATGTGTACATACCTGGTAATTAAGTTTCAATCCACGTATTACTGTATTACAACTAATATAAATTTGGAATATTATAAAAGTATATCAAATAACTTGTATCGGCATCGGTATGACCAGTAATGCATAAATATTAAAATACTACGGCCTGCGGCTTTCTAACCGCAGTTCGATTATCGCTTAAATACACCTTTTATACCTCAAGAAAACTCAAAAGTCAACACAACTTCTCATTATTTAAAAATCAGAACAAGTAACCTAGAAACTATTTCAAAATGGCAATTCGTAAGTGATTTGTTCATATATAGACCATAACGTTTCTATCATATGCTTTAATAACTGAGAAAGAAGCTTCTTTTTTATAGGTGCACAATTTGAAAACAGCAATGAAATTGGTGTTTTTTCCCGTTTAACAAACTCTTATTGTTTGGTTGCGTTAGGAGGCTCAGAAAATTTCTACAGGTTTGTATGCTTTGATTTTTTGATTCTAATTTTATTTAATAAATTTAACTATATCATAAAAATTATTTTAGTGTATTTGAAAGTGAATTAAATGATATAATTCCAGTAATTCATACATCAATTGCTGGTACTAGAATCATCGGTCGTCTAACTGCGGGTTTGTTTTTCATTTCTTTTTATGTAATAAATTTTTTTTGGTTGAAATGTTGTTAAACTAAACTTGTAACTTTTGATCCACTAAAAGGTAATAAGAAAGGACTTCTCGTCCCAAACACGACGACAGATCAAGAACTTCAACACTTACGGAATTCACTTCCGGATTCTGTTCAGATTCAACGCATTGAAGAACGTCTTTCAGCATTAGGAAATGTTATTGCTTGTAACGATTATGTTGCTCTCGTTCATCCTGATGTTGATAAAGAAACTCAAGAAATTATTCGTGATGTACTAGAAGTGGAGGTGTTTACGCAAACAATCGCGGGTAATGTACTAGTTGGTAGTTATTGTGCAATAAGTAATCAAGGTGGATTGGTAAGAACGTTGAATTTGGTTTATACTTTTGTCTTTCTTTTGACCTGGAATTCAAAAATTTAATCTGATCATTTCATTATAGGTTCATCCACGTACGACAACTCAGGATCAAGATGAATTATCATCATTATTGCAAGTTCCTCTTGTGGTTTGTATTTATTTAAATTTCATAATTAAATAACGGAATCATATATTATATTATAAAATATTTACATTTGATATACATTTTTTGTATTGATTGATAGGCCG